AAACCCTGGAAAGGGATAGGTGTAATGTGCATAAAGAGAGTCCCCTTGCACTATAATAATGTGTGCCTGACTTGTTCTTAAGGGAGGGGAATTGTAATCCACATTCTGGGATAGTGTTTCCACTATTTATTGGCTAGTTTTGAGCCAATCATGAGCCCCTGCATTAGACTGTGGTCATGGGTTTGGTTGGATTGGTTTGAGAAGACAGTAGAGAATCACAATTAATGGGTTGGATAGAGTGCCCCTATAGTCACTTATTTTGACCCATTGGTACCAATCTACTTCTAGGTACTTAATTTTTTATTGCTAGAAATGTTCATGTGAATTGTAGAAATTTTCAGAATTTTTAGAAATTTTCAGCACTAAAAACCCTAAGAAGTGTATCTTCGAAATTGTGATTGTGAGGATCTAGGCCCACATGTGCGACACACCTCATAGGTGGGATGTGGAGCCCATGGGTGCCACATGTCACCCATAAGGGTGGCACGGCCTCTACTCTATGTTTTAGGAAAAATATCTTCAAAGCTCCTATTTTTAAGTTTCATTTCACAATAGACCAATGTTTTAAAAGATATTTTGGGACATAAAAATTGTAGATTTTATTTTTTCTAACCCCTTGAGCTAATTTAAACCTGTTTTTTTAGGCCAAACAAATCTAAAAAGACATGCTTTTTCTAAAAGCCATCTTCTCAAACTTCTATAGAGAGAGAACGGCTTCATTGATGTGAGAGGTTAGCAGAAAGAGAGAGAGGTGTTCGGAGAAACACATGAGGAGAGAGATAGAGAGAAGCGGGAAGAGAGAAAAAGAGAAGTTTGGGGTATATAAGTGAAAAGAGAGAAAGGATTGGGTTTAGAAAGAGCATGTCCTTTTCACATTTGTTTAGGTTAAAAAATAGGTTTAAAGAGGCTAGGGGGTTAGAAGATATCTTTTGAAACTTTGGGTTTATCAAAAAATGAAATCCAAAAATAGGGGATATGAAGATGTTTTCCCTATGTTTTATGTTAGATGATCTTTTTCTTTTCAAAAGAAGATTCTATGTACGTATTTTATGTGGGAATTAGTTTTTACCAAAATATTTTATTTTGACTTCTTACAATTTTAAAGAGATAAAAAAAGAAGTTGCATTGTTTTTTTGTTTTTAGATTAGTTTTATCCTAGTTAGACAAGAAGTGGATATGGGTCAAAGATTAAGGGGATAGTTTCCTTATATTCCTCCCTGAATCATGATGGCTGATTTATGAGATGGATGGCTCCGATTTAGTTCTTCTTTACGTCACAGATTTTCTAAATTTCAGGAGGGAAATCTCCTTCAGTCTCTACACAATTCTCAAGCCTCTCTCTTTCTCTCGATTTCTCTCTCCTCTATGCTCCACTCTGTCATCTCATGTCTATCTCTCTCTCTCTCTCCCCTTAAGTAGCACGGCACCCATAAGAAAAATGGGGGTGGCATGCTTAACCCTAGATAGGGTTTGAAGAGAGGAGCATGCCCAGCCCCAGGAAAAGGAGGTGCCTTTATGGAATTTGCCCTAATTGTTCTAAAAGGGGTTCTAGTAAGTCCTAATTGTGCTGTACGCTCTCTAAAACCCTATTTTGAGAAGTATTGCCTAAGGAAGCTTCCTGGCTCCGAAAAATCAGCAAAGACCAATAGGATCGAAGTGCACCATGGTCAAGAAATCGGGTGTGGGGTGTCTTAAGTTCGATGGCAGTGATCCCTACGCATATTCTCGTAAGTCTTCCTGGTTGTTAGCTTTTATTTTTCAATCTTATTTGCATATTTTTTTTATTTTCTATGAGCAATATTTGTATTATAATTGTTAGTAGAAGCTTGATCTTCGTTCCTGGATTGTATTTTTTAAAATTTGAAGTAAAAGTAAAGGTCCTAGGTTGAATTTAGTGTTTTGTTTCGTAATTACATAAGTGTTTTGCAGCACTTGTATGTGAAATTCATATTAACTAATATTCATATTCTATTGCCTTGAATTCCACATAGCCACTTCTCTCAGTAACCCCACTTTTTTTTTGTTAATGTATAGAAAATCAAGAGGGAGAAGATTAAAACAGGAGATTTTTTTTTTTTTGAGGTTTGAAAAGAATATCAAGAAGGAGAAGATTAAAAGGAAAGAAATATTTTAGGATAGAAAAGAAAAGCAAGAGGGAAGAAAATGATCATTGCTTTGATACCATGTCAGAGAAGGGAGAGAATGAGGAAAGGAAAGAGGGAGAGAGTGACATGAGAGTCCCAATGGGGTCTCACGCACCTCTCAAATCTGGCCATACAAACTGAAATAGGACGTATAGATCCTATTACTTGAAATGAAAGAGAAATAAGAATTTGAAAACGGACTTCTAACAATAGTAATGGAATGTATCACGGTCCAATGTTAGGCTCATTTAAATGGAGCATTCTGCTAGTCAAAACTGACTTCATTGCTTTTTGGCACATGGCATCTCCTTGCTGCCCGCATGGATTTTGTTTAGAGTGTAGAGTGGTTGGACATGTTTTTAATCCATACACCAAGTTGAGGTTGAAATTTCAAAGGTTCTGAACAAAATTGTAATTTATGTGCAGTGTGTCTTGGATGGAGGGAAAAATTATTCTTATTTTTTGTTTTTATTCAACTTTAAAGGATTTATATTATAGTTTTAACTTTAAGGTTTATTTCTAGGTTTTTAAGTTTTTTACAGATTCTAGGGTTTTATTTTTTATTTTATTTACTTCATAAGTACTATTCATGATTTCTATTCACTGCGGTAAAACTGTCAGTAGGAAGTTTATGTTAGGATATATATCATCATCATCATTTTAGCCTTTTCCCAACCAATTGGGGTTGGCTACATGAATCTTGGTTCTCCATTCTACTTTATTAAAGGCCATAATCTCAGTGAGGGCATAAGTCCTCATAGAATATATATGGGTCATTTAAATCATTGTATGGACATATAATGTCTTTAAGCATTGAATTATGATATATAAGAGGTTTTTGGGGCCTTGAGAGGGACCGTGCCATATGATTTTTAGAATTTGAAAGACAAAAGCTTAGGCTTTTAGAACCCTAACTTGGGGTATGGAGAAGAAAACCCTAGGTTTCTTTAAATTATGCTTGTGTTTGGCATTGCTCCTTGCTGTTTTTATTGTTCCTTTAAATTTTCCTACATCAAATCGGTATCAGAGCCTGCGATCTACACGGAAAGTACTGTAGCAATGTACGAAGTTATTGTAGCATCAATTTTTTGGTGCCCTAGGTCAACAACAAAGCAGGGAAGTTACAGTGGGCTTTTAAGGTTTGTTGATTTTGGCCAAAGTTTTGCCAAAACAACCTAGATCTTGTTGATTTCAACGGTTTTTTTTTTTGATTATTTGCCTAAGGTTTGTGATTGCGATGAACCCATGGCAGCGAGAAGGGGCCGTAAAAGGGGGATTTTCGTAGATCCACTCCGTGATCCTATAGATGACAGAATTAAAAACTTGAAAGGTAAGTATAGCAACTGGCGCAACAGTTCGCGAGCCTCAATAATAGGCAAGACAATGATCTTTCAGCCCAAGAGGATCTTGAGAAAAGCCTTTTCACTTTTGCGCTCCACATGGGGAGTCGAGTGATGAGGATAGTGATAGAATACCTAGATATGGGGAATGACAGTCTAGGGTTTTCGATTTGGAGGATGAGATTCTTGTAGGAGATCCAATCTACGATGATGATCAATATTTTATGGTTGAATTAGTGTTTGACAAGGAAAAAGATGAAAGACTCAAAGAAGAATTGATAGGGGAAGTTGTTGGTTTAGTCACTGATCTCAAAGATGAACCCGTGGTGTGTTCTAGAGCTGAGTCTAGGCAAATTCAGTAGGTTACATGGCTGAAGTGATGCAATTTCAACAGATTTATGTGATTAAAAATATTCTACCGACATACAATGACCCTTTCCTCGAGGGTTTCTCAGTTCTAATGTGCAATCATGGTGTTTTGATTTGTGCAGTAACCCACAAGTCCCACGATCATGTTTACAATATTCGAGTTGAAGAATGTTGTCGGATTAGCCCCAATTTCAAAATTCGAAGACGAGTTTTCTCCAACAAGGAGAGAATGATCGAGGGAAAAATAATTCTTATTTTTTATTTTTATTCAACTTTAAAGGATGTATATTGTAGTCTTAGTTTTAGGGTTGATTTCTAGGGTTTTTAAGTTTTTTAGGGATTCTAGGGTTTTTATTTTTTTATTTACTTTACAAGTACTAGTCACAAGTACTGTTTACAGGGGTAAAACTGTCATTATGAAATTTAAATTTATGTTAAGATATATAGATCATTTTAATCATTGTATGGACATGTAATGTCTTTGAATATTAAATTATAATATATAAGAGGTTTGTGGGGCCTTGCGGGGGACAATTCCACATGATTTTTAGAAATTGAAAGAGAGAAAAGCTTAGGCTTTTGGAACCTAACTTGGGTTATGGAGAAGAAACCCTAGGTTTGTTTGAATTATGCTTGTGTTTGGCTTTGCTCCTTGTTGTTTTTACTGGTCCCTCAAATTTTCCTGCATCAATCGTTTTCTTAGTTGTATCTATTGGACCTCTGTTAAAATTTACTGTACCACAAGGATACAACAGCATATATGGAGTTGGGACCCCAATGGGAATTTTTCTTTCTTCTCAACTTTCCTTCTTCTCTGTTTTTAGGGCTCTTAATGGATATTATTATTCAAAAGTTTATTTGATCTTTCAAAATTTTCTTCATCTATGCAGTTTGTTAATTTTTTAGAATCTATTTGTCCTCATGATTTTTGCTTGTTTCCCCATATTTCAAGTTCTGGCATTTATCAAGTAACCTTTTATGAGGCTGCCTTGTGTCGTTAGTATGTCGCTAATCATAATAAGTAATGGCATCTTACAAATGAAAGTTATTAGTAGATACTCTTGATTATGGAAAACATTTGAGCTCTTCCTAGCTTTCCATGTTCCATGGAACCTCTGATATCACTGACATTATACATTCTTTGCAGCCCACATCTTTGGACTCTTAGAGAACGGATTTCAGTTGGCAGGAAGGATGAGCCTGTATCAGCTGGGGATCTAAAAAATCTTCTTTCTGATGTCAGAAATATTCTTAATCTTTCATTAGAATTGGAACAGGGGTTTCTAACGCATTTTGAGGTACTAATAATGTGAGTTGCAAGCTTCACATGTACAAAGGAGTGAAACTTTTGTAGGCTGTGGTTAAACCTTTTAGATAACCATGAAGTGTTGGTTCATTTTTATTTTCTTTGGTGGAAGCAATGCCCTTGCCTAATGTTGCAGCCTTGGGGCACTTCTCTCTCTATGTCTCTCTCTCTCTTTCCCCCCCCCCCCCTACATTGTGAATAACTTGTATTTTTTATTCTTAATTTGTCATGAAAGCATGCTTTTAGTTGTCTATGTTTAATACATTACTTTTTAATTGAATTTTCAGGTTCTCACTGCCCTTGCGTTTACTCTATTTGCTCAAGAGAATGTTGATATAGCTGTAGTTGAGGTAAACATATTTGCAACTTATACTTTTACGTGGAGGTGTAGTGTGATAATAAGCGGTCTTTCAATTGCTTAAATCGATGACTAGAATGAAAACTTTGGGTATTATGGTGAATATTTCCTTAAGGTTTTGGCTTCTTGCGTACCCTTAGACAGCGATTCATTCTCCTCATATATATCCAGAAAGCTCTTCTTCTTCTTTTTTTCCCCTTGTTGCATGACTTTTGTATGGCCCTTGATAGAGAATAATGGAGGAGTATGATTCATTTAGCCGACCCCAAATAATTAGGATAACACTTGTATTGTAATGATGATGATGACATGGAATATTATGACTTTGGATGTACCATGTTTTTTTGTAGAAGAATATTTTGGTCGTTTTCTTGGTTAGGGTGTTTATTAATCCGTGGATACTTATTATATATGAGATTATGAAAAATGCTTTCATTAAGGAAGTTTTTATAATTTTTTTATGCGTCTTGGTAATAGATTTAGGGCTTCATAAAGATATTATTATCTCATATCTCATTTCAATATTCAAAGACTTTTCCATCTCAATTTTGCAAATGACATATACTTGTAAGTTCGTTTTTTATTCAATGAAATTGTGTTAGCCATAAGAAAAAAAGATTACTTCTCTCCTTATTATGTATGTTGCTGGCTCTAGATTGGATTAGAAATGAAGTAAAGTACGAGGAAATGTGACCCTGATTAATGCCCCTCTGTCTCTAGGTATGCACATTCCCATATGGACAATTAAGTTAAATCTTCGTATATTGCAAATTATGTAAATGCAAGACTTTGTGTACAAAACTTAAGATCAGTGATTTAAAACATGGAACTGACCCAAATTAGTTGTCTGACGAAGCCGAGTCTCTAAAGAAATTATAGAGTAAGTTTCTTTGCCTAGTGAAACTCATTAGAATCTTGGAGTTTCGAAATTGGACCTGGTATCTTGCCGGGTTTGCGTGACCAATCAAGTCTAGGCCTGAGTCATCGATTTTTTTCATTGTAGTCTAGATTGTTAGGATACTCGGCTCTCACCCAATAGACCTAGGTTCAAATCCCGACAACGGAATTTTCTTTATTAGGAGGTGTGATTTGGGTACTCTAAAAGGACAAGGGGAAGACTCAAAAGGACATAGATGGAAGTGGTGAGGAAAGATGTGGGGACTTATTGTTTTATTAAGGGTATGACCCTTGATAGAGCAGAATGGCGGACCCGGATTCGTGTAGCCGACCCCAAATAGTTGAGATAAGGCTCTGATGATGATGATGATGATGATGATGATGAAGGATATATAACGTTTGTATTGATAGTATAAGAGAAATGTACAAAATTTCATATGACTAAATCATTGCTCAAACATGGACCAAAAGAAAAGAAAATAAAATAAAATAAAAGCTCTTCTTGCAAAAGAAATAAAAGATTATCCAGTCAGGAAGTAGACATATTAATGGTAAATTTGTTGCTAGCTTGGTTCTAGTGTGAACGTAAAAAGTCTATGGAATTGCCTTTAAGTGGTAGTCTCTCATACCCAAAGATCCCTCCACAATCTTATGTGGTCACCATTCTTTGCAATAAAATGAATGTTAGGTGAACTCATTACAAACTGAAACGATGCCCCTCCAAGCAACTCAGATGTGCACACTTGCATGACAAATCATAAGCCATCCCAACTCATCAAGGCCATTTGTTTCTACTACTTGCTACCAAAGGTGGCGATTTTGACTTGTTAATGTCAACCACCATTTTGATATTGAGGTGGAGTTGCATTCATAAAATCTTCAAATACTAAATCCCCCGTCCTTTGAGTTACAAACCATTTCCTAGCTGACTTAGTGAAATTTTTGTGAGTTCCAAACCTTGACAAAATAAAATACCTTATCAAATATTCTCTTTAGAACAGCCATAGGCATCTTAAAATGGGACTTATTAAATAATATAGTATTAGACAAAGTAGCTTTGATGAGTATAATCCACCCCCTAGTGACAAATATGGAGTACCTGACATTCCAAGCATTGATTTCTCTCGAAATTTCTCCATGACTCTATCCCATTGACTCTTCCTCAGCTGGCCTGGGCATAGAGGAAGACCAAGATATTTGGAGGGCAAGTTCTCAACCTTGCAACCGAGGTTCTTGGCCAACACTAGTCGTTGTTACGTGACAGGCAAATGCCAAGTCATATTAGTCTTGGCATGGTTGATCTTGAGACTTTTTGATAGTTAAAAGCATCTCAAGAACAACCAAAGGTTGTCCACTTACTGGAGGTCTGCATCACAAAATACATGTGTATAAATGGGTCATTTGTGGATCCTTGGAAGAGGAGAACCCTTTGAGGAGGTGGTTGTATAATCAATGTTTTAAAAAACGGTCTGCTAGGCGCCTAGGCAGCCTGGACCAAAAGTCCGCCCTCCTAAACCTAGGCAGCCCTACACAGGCGGATGTACCTGGGCGGGTGCCCAGGTGGGCTAGGCGAGCGCCTAGGAGGGTGCCCAGGGCCGTAAGGCGTTTCTCATTTTTTTAAAACTACGGGGCGCCTAGGCGTTGGGCGCTAGGCACCAGGCAAGCCGTAGCGTTTTTTGAAACCTTGTGTATAATTTTGAGATAGACTTACTGAATATCTCTCCTACAATTGTGAACAAGGGAGATAGACTTGGCTACCTAGCGGAGCGATTGGCTTGTGTGCATCTTCATAGCAGAGCAAGAGCAAGCTACCACTGGCTTGTGTAGGCTAGACAAGCCACTATTAAGCTTTGCTCGTAGGCATAAAATCGAGAAATGAGAAATTGTCGGGAGGGGTGGCTCGACAGGATCAAGGGTCGAAACCAGAATGAAAAAAAGAAAAGATTCGATCTCCTTGGCAAAGACCCCTAGATGAGAAGTATCAATGATTTGAATCGCAATTTTTTTTTGTGTGTTTTGTGTGGGGGGGAGCAACGTGCAAACACTGCTCGAGATCCAATTTTGCCTCCTACTACCAAAGCCTTGAGATCAACAACTTGATGTTGGAGGTCCAGTTCACATGATCATAAGCTTTCTCCCAGTCTGACTACTACGTTTGGGATCTTAGATGCCAAGAATGGATAGCTTCATGAGTAATCATCACGTTATCCAAGATGTGCTCCTTTATAAAGGCACCCTATGAAGACAACACAACCCACCTTGGAGCCCTCCTGAGTTGAGTAGGTAGAATGTTAGCTAATATTTGTCGGAGCTATTTAGCAAACTAATTGGCTTGAAAAATGCTTTAGCTTTTTGGCCCTTGGACCTGGACCTTTGGTACAAAACTAATAAAAGTTGACTCAGATTCCAATTAATAATGTCCCTTTGATAGAATTTTGAACATCCCGCCTACAATTCAGGGATATAGTATCCCAGAAATGATGGAAGAGCATCATTGGAAATCCATCCGGACATGGTGCCTGATAATTAGCCAATTTGAATACCACCCTTCGGATCTCCAATTTTGAGAAGGGCCACTCTAACCATTCACCCATCTCATTAGGGACATGCTGAAAGACAAGATTAGTGATGTAAGGCATGTCAGATTACCTAGAAAATAAAATTTGGAAGTAATTAATGATGAACCCATTGACTGAGGATCATCAGAGATTATATCACCAACTTTGATCTTATTGCATTGGCCCTTCTCCCACAGTTTTCTATTTTATAAAAAAAAGCTGTTTTTTATCACCCTCCTTGAGCCATTTAATCGCAGATCCCTGTTGCCAATTTATCTTCTCTTGTTTTAGTTAGAACCCTATGGTAGTCGATTATGTCTTCTGATCTCCTTACCCTTTTAATTCCTTGGTCTTCAAAAGTAGGATTCTTTCTTATATTGGAAGGCTCATAACTGCTATGTCTTCTGATCTCCTCACCCTTTTAATTCCTTTGTCTTCAAAAGTAGGATTCTTTCTTATATTGGAAGTCTCAAAACTGCAGGCGGCTCCTGTTTTAAGACAACGCTTTAGCATCTGCCACTTCTTGCATAACCTAAAACCTGCCTCCCACCTTTCAACTACATAGGACGACCACCAAGGGGGTAAGAGGTCGCGAAGGGCTCTATCTTCGAGCCCTGTCATCTCAAACCTGAAGAGCTTGTGATCGACTGTGACTCTGGCAGAATTGGAGTTTGGTCAGATATTGGCTTTGGTGAAGCCCTTGAATGGACTCTAGGAAATCTATCTTCCCACTCTAGGTTGATGAAAAACCGGTCCAACTTAGAGAGGGAGGAATTCTCAGTGTTATTGGCCTTGATCGACTGTGACTCTGGCAGAATTGGAGTCTGGTCAGAGATTGGTTTTGGTGAAGCCCTTGAATGGACTCCACAGGAAGTCTATCTTTCCACTCTAGGTTGATGAAAAACCGGTCCATCTTAGAGAGGGGAGGAATTCTCAGTGTTATTTGGCCTTAGTATATGAGACCTCATTAAGGAAAGGTCCACTAAGTTGTCTGAAAGCAAAATCAGAGAGTGCTGACATACTAACAGTGATCCTAATTCTATTAAGGTTCAACAGGTCACATTTAAACAACCCACACCCCCCCCCCCCCAAAGCACCATCAGGTGGGCGATAAATCTGCTAATTTGTCTAATTACACCATAGGGCATCTATTATATTGGGCTTAAGCTTCCAGTCGCAATCCACAGGACCATCCGAGAATGAGACTGGAACCTAGAACCGGCCAATGTATGCTGATTTAGTGAGGCATTAGGGGTCCACCTAGATCCCTCTCGAGGCTCCCTCGGCATGTAGCACATCCCATTGGCAAAAGTTTCTGCCCCATAATTGGTGCACCAAGGCCAACGCCGAGGGACCTGACTAAAGTCTTAATAACTGTGATGATCTCAGGGGAGGACTTACAGCAAAGTACTAAGGAAGCTCTCTCTGTCGAGGAATATCCCAATCCCCGATATTCCAACACAAAACTTTCATTTTGAGGAGGGGGAGAGAGCTTGTAGAGATAGCAGAACATCTGCTTGTTTGTATTTCCAAGGTGGAAGAATCTTGGGGATATAATCTCTACAGGAGGGTTGTCATATTCCTTTACCATCTGCTCTGTGTGATAATCGTCTTCCTGTTTGGTGCCATAAACATCAACGCCTTCCGTGCGAAAGAAGATATCGCTCATTCTTTAGTCCATGGTTCATTGAACTCCAACATATTCCTTGCATGGTCACTCAGTGATGGAGAATGATTATTGGGCTTGCTTTTTCACCTCACTTCTCTATGTTTCGACTTCTTGTGTGGATCCCAAAACTGCAGAAAGGCACTTTTCTATCAGTTTCGCTTTATGACAAACCATAGTTTTCTAAAAGTGGCAGTTTATCCTACTTGTAATGGTGACTTCTTTCAAAGAATCCATACCTGACTTTCTTCCAAATGTATAAAGCCACTGCTGGCTGCTGCATCTCAGATGCTTACTCCTGTACATATTTTTGGCAATCAGTATTTTAGCTGTATCTTATAATTGAGATGGATTGTTAACCTCCCCTGGAAAATCTGGTTAGACTGGCTAAGAGATAAAAGTAATTTGTATTGAACTTTTTATCTCTATGTATTGAGCTTTAAAGGCACATTTCATCTGTAAAATTAGACATCAAATAATGTGTTGATGCTGTCTGAAGTTTACTATCCTGGTTATAAAGTTTCTTGTTGTTATGTAGTTTACCAGGGTATGCAGTGTCCAGTCTTGGATACCTGACATCTCTCTATATATAGTTCTACTTTAGTAGTATCTTTTTGGAAGCTTAAACATGGAACCAGTTCAATGTGGATCGGCATTGAACTTGAGAAATTCAACTTAACTTTGTAATAACAGGCTGGCCTTGGGGGAGCAAGAGATGCAACCAATGTCATATGCAGCTCAAAACTTGCAGTATCCATCATAACAAACATAGGCGAAGAGCATATGGCAGCTTTGGGTGGGTCTCTTGAAAGCATTGCGATTGCAAAGTCGGGAATCATCAAACAAGGGTGCCCAGTTACGTTCTTCTCATTTCTTGGGCATTTTTATTACACATGCGCATGTGTTTGCTTATTCTGATGTTATCAATTGTGGATGATCGGCATTGCTGATTTTCTGAGTTTCAACATTTGGTACTGTAGTTGTCATTGATGTCTGCTCATGCATGTTACATATGATAGGAAGGTTCTATGCACTCTTTTGGGTGAATTCAGTCGTGGGAGGCAAGGCACACAGGGGATAGG